CTTTGGAGGTCCCTTCCAACCCCTAGGATTCTGTGATTCTGTTATTCTGTAATTTACTGTACTAAGTTAGCTGAACAGGTTACTTTTAAAACAATCTGCTTTGTGAAACTGTCAGTCAGTTATGCCAAGCATCCTGCAGGTTGTGATAACATCAAGTCTTCTGAGAACCTGTGGCCCTACAGACAACCCACATGTTGATTCTGACCCACCTGGGCAATCTACCAGCGGGAGACTGGAGACAGGACCAGGACCAGAGACAGGACAAAGACGACAAAGGACTAGAATCAACAAAGACCCCCAGGAGACCTTTGAGCATGCATAATTACAAAGATAGCCAATTCCAGGAAATAAAATGACTATGTAAAAGAATTCTGGAAACTCATTGATATAAAACTGAATATGCATATTTTGGTGTATATTAGTTGGGGTGTTTCACTAACTCATTGGAGCACTCATGGTGGAGAATCCCCAGTGCCGCCCAGCGCTGCAATTAAGAATGCCTGCTCAATAACAGCTTGTTTGCTGTTATTGGGTCTTAATCTCAGAATCCTTACCCAGCTGCACCTAGCCTCCCACTGCGGTGAGGAGTGTTAGAAAGCAAGGGGGGTTTGGAACCTCCGAATTTTTGTTTCACCCATGGCTAGATGGCAGGCTGTCCCCCTGCACTCATGGAGGAACATGGTGAAACTTTCTCTGAAGGTGCCAGGAGGGGGGAACTTGGCCAGTGGACTTGGATTTTGTGGCCAGTGGATTTGCTGCCAGTGGACCCTGATTACGCAGCTTTGGAAGACCCCAGTGTGAAGGGAGTTGACGGTTCCTGAAGGAGCCCGTGACTCTGTGAGAAGGCCACACCGGAGCAGCTTGCTCTGGAAGCAGGCAAAGACTGTAAGGAATCTTGTCCCTGAGGAGGATGGAGCAGGAAGAACCACCAGCCTGTGAACTGACTCTAAACCCCATCCCCTGTCCCCTTGTGCCGCTGGGGGGAAGGAGGCAGAGAAACCGGGAGCAAAGTAATTTGGGCCCAGGAAGAAGGGAGGGGTGGGGTAACATATGCAAGCACTGCTCTTTCTTTGTGTGTGTCCTCTGTGTGTTTGATTAGTGTGAAATTAAATTATTATTTTTTCCCCAGGTTGAGTCTGTTTTTCCCAGGACCTTAATTGGTGAAGAACCCTCCTTGTCTTTTGTCTCAACCCATGATCTTTGTCCTCCTCACCCCAGTGTGTGTGTGGGGGATTTGAGTGAGAGGCCCTGTGGCTGTTCCTTTGTTGTCCAGTTGAGCCCAAACCATGACAAGCCTGCAGACCACTGCCACCATCTTAAAGCCACAGACACTGCCACGTGTAGCCTGGCAGGACTGTAAGCTTTAATAATAATATTTATTACTATTCTATTTCTAAGCACAGTCTCTCCCCGGGATAAACCTGTAAACAGCCCTTACACCCACTCACAACGCCGACCCTGTTGACAGGGAAACACATTATACTGACCTGTTGTGGGGAACGGTCCATCTTCTCTCTCCCCACATAAGACTAAACAAAATGCATTTCAAGCCAGCAAAACAAGAATGGCATCTCTTTACTGATTTAGCCAAGGACAGACTGGAACAGGCCTCTTGCTCTACCAGATAAGTCCAC